ATCAGGCTGGGCTGAGGGACCCCCACTTTCATGCACTAGGTCTCTAGTAGATTATAAAAGAAAGGAGTTTTATAAATCTTAAGCCAGTAGAAAGAGATTTTATACATATTACTAAGGTACACTGATAGTTTGCTGGTGTAGAGGGATAAAGAATCTTGGATAACTATGATTTGCATATGGAATAATCATGAAAAGATGTAAAGATAAAACTAAGAACTTAAGACTTCACTTTCAACCTGACCCACAAAAGGGAAAATAAATGAGGTGATTATATATTCTAAAATAGATGGGGAAAAAACCAACAGAAAATTTTAGGAATGAAAGAGGTCCATAAACATGGTTAATATTAGAAAGCTAATCATGAGTTAGTCTTTTTAGGTGTTATTTTTTGAGAAGCTGAATGGAGGAAATAGGTATAACTTAGCACTGCCCAAGAGGAGGTAATTTTGCAATCCTGATTTGTATTAAGTTTCAATCCTTATTCTATCAGGAAATATTATTAATTGTAGTGTAATGCACCCATTTAGTTAAGTAAACTGGAAAATCCTAATATATAAAAAAACTTGGGTCCATCACAATTAGAAGCTCAACCGACTGGAAATCAGTCCTGCAGTCAGGGCTGGGTTGCTGTGGGACCCAGCACTAACTTCTATGGCTGCAGGCAGGGTGACCCAGCACTGACTGCTGAGAGGACTGCAAATCAGGCTTGGAGAGAGGCCTGAAGAGACAAGCAGGGTCTAATCTGTAGCCTCTGTGGCAGTTGATCAGCAACTTGCCTTTCTCTTTTGTCTGGATCTGGCCAGCAGTTGCACCTCCATTTCTCCCAAGCCTCCACAGGGGCTGCTGATCAGCCCCACCTTTCTGATCAGGCCCTGTTGTTAGGCCCAGAGATGCTGACTGTCAAAGAAACCAACCAATCAGAACCAAATCTGGGTGAAGTGTGAGTTGCCAATGGCTGCCCAAGAGGCAGAGCTTTTAATGCTGACTGGCATAGAAACCAACCAATCAGAAACAAATTGGCCAGCAGGGAAGGGCAGTTGAGTGTGAGATTAGGCCAGCAGGGGAGGGCAGTTAAAGGTGATCAGGCAGACAGAGGCAGTTAGGGGCTATCAGGTTGGCAGGGAAGGGCAGTTGGGGGAGAAATCAGGCTGGCAGAGGAGGGCAATAAGTGGCCATTAGGCTAGCAGGAGGGCAGTTGGGGGCAACCAGGCTGGCAGGGGAGAGCAGTTGGGGGTGAAATCAGGCCAGCAAGGGAGGACAGTTGGGGGCAATCAGATCAACAATAAAGCTGTTAGGTGTTAATCAGGCTGGCAGAGGAGATGTTAGGAGGTGATGAGGCTGGCAGGCAGAAGCAGTTAGGGGCAATCAGACAGCAGGCAGGCATGTGGTTAGGAGACAGCAGTCCTACATTCCCGAGGGTCCAAGATTGGAGAAGGTGCAGGCTGGGCTGAGGGACACCTCTCACCCCAGTGCATGAATTTTATGCACCAGGTCTCTAGTTTCAGCATAAGCACCGAGGATTCTTCCTAGTTGGGACCAACTCAAAAAAAGGGCATCTGGATAATCACAAACTAAACTGTCCAGTGTGTTTACTTATTCAGAACCATGTGCCTCTGACAGCACAACATGCCCTGGATCCAGTTTTTAGCTTAGTCACCATCATCATTTCCTTTTTATTTATTTATTTTTTAAAATATATTTTATTGATTTTTTTACAGAGAGGAAGAGAGAGGGATAGAGAGTTAGAAACATCGATGAGAAAGAATCATCGATCAGCTGCCTCCTGCATACTCCCTACTGGGAAGTGCCTGCAACCAAGGTACATGCCCTTGACTGGAATCGAACCCAGGACCTTTCATTCCGCCTGCTGATGCTCTATCCACTGAGCCAAACCGGTCTCGGCATCATTTCCTTTTTAAGAACTGAACTTATTGCGGTGACATTGGCTAATGAAATTACATATGTTTCAGGTATATAATTCTATAATACATCATCTCTATGTTATGTATTTACTATTCCAACCATCATCATTGACTTTTACCTAGAAAACATTGTAACATAATTTTGATATGTGGAGTTTGGGGCACAGAATCTTCCTTTTTGGGTTCTCACTCTATGAAATTTGAAGAATAAATACTTGAACTATAGGCTTCTTTAGTAAAACATGTGGAAGTTTATTGGAAGCATATACAAACTTTGCCTTGCGGGGGTCCCAAGTGGAAAAAAAAACCCTGTTCTTTCTCTCTCTAATGGGAAAAAAAAATCAAACCTAAAATCTTCTGAGTCTCTTTGTCTCTGGGTTTATAAAGGCTGCAGCAGTTTGTGTCTTTATGACCCCTTTTAATTGGACTCTTCCCTTAATTTTGACTCCTATGCTTTCCTAATTGGTCAGAGTATCAGTTTCAAAGTCTAAAGCCCATGTGGTGCCCACTTCTTCCTCTTGTGACATTTCTCTATCCTCTGTGAAATTATGATTCCCCCCTCTTCCTTGTATCTTGTGGCAATTCTTTATCCTCTGTGAAAGTAAGATAACCATTTGAGCCCATCACAAATGTGCATTCCTCTTCCATGGACCCTCCTTTCCCCTAAAACTGCCTATCTTGTCTTAAAATTCCTTTCAATTTTGTTGTTAAGAAATAGAATATGAGCTTTGTGGAACCTTATTCTCTAAAACCAAAATGGTCTAGAATTCCTTTATATTAAAAATGTAAGCAGCCCAGTCAGGTTT